GACACTGGAGAGGTTTGACATTTCCTTCTCCAGCTGATTTTACAGGCCAGTAAACTCAGACAAACGAAGTCGAGCGACTTGCCCAGGGTCACACAGCTCGGAGATATTTGAAGTCAGATTCGAGGTCGGGAAGAGCAGTTGCCTGACCCCAGGCCAGGCGCTCCATCTCCTGTGCCACCCAGCTGTCCAGATTCAACCACTTCACCATTGTTCTTGGGGCTCTTCTCCACGTATCACCAGGAAAAGTTAAAGAGAAATCTCTGCCCCTCCCTATGTTGAAACTGCAGCAGTGAGATTAGTGTTGGAAAGGACATTGAGGGGATCAGCTTGTGGCTCTTACATAGCGTTCAAAGCGAGTCAACAAGCACTTATTAAGCTTCCACAGACGATGTCCTAATTACCTGCCCTGGAGGAGCTCACAGTTTAATGGTGCAGACCATATGCAAACAAACAACGACACACAAACACGAGACGGACCGGGGAAGGCAACCTCACAATCCAGCTTGTCTCCTCCTACTGCCCTGCCCAGAGTGTCGTGAATGCGGCATGACCTTGATAGAAATCATCTTTCACACTTGACACTAGCCGTGTGACCCTGGGCAAGTCACTTAACCCCACTGCCTAGCCCCGCGCCCACCCCCCTCCAATCATCTTTTCCCTTTCCAGTCCACAAAATCGCTGGTTAAGAGCTCACTATTTAATTCGGTGCTTAATTAATAATCCTTAGGCCCCTACTCTGTGCTGGGGCTCGGCCCTAGGGAGGAGAAAAAGTCCAGCGGGATGAAAAAGATTATTTGAGTAATTACACTGAGGGCAGGGGCTCTTTTGTCTCTTTTTACATCCCAGCGCCTGGCACTTAGTAGGTGCTTAAATACGCATTGATTTAATTGAACGAAATATGCAATAGTACCTGCCCCGAAAGAGCTGGCTACCTAGCAGAAGGAGGAGACCTGCAGCGCAAAGCGCGCTGGCTCTGAAATCAATGTTCCTGGGTTCCAATCGTAGCTAGCGGATTTCCAAAGCGTGACTCCAAGGCTGCAGGCCGCCCGGTCGTCCTCCCTGACCCACGTGCCATTCCCGGCGCGCATGCGCACCACAACGCTTTTGCAGCCCGAGCGGAGGATCATTGATTCTTCCCTTTCCCACCACAGGTTCGAACCGACGCTGGGACCCACTATACCTCACAGGCCCATGCCCCTTACCTGTTCCCAGTAACTTTTTTCCGTGCACTAGCCCGTCTACCGGTCAACGGCAGCCGGGACCAGCAGCAACCTACGCGGAGGAAGCGACCGCCTGCTGCCGCTGCCATCTTGGGCTCACGCGCAAAGCAAGTCGGGAAGAGATACGACTGGGAAAGGAGGAAGTGGAGAGAGACGTACCACTGGGCGAAAAGATAGGGGAGGCTTTTAATGGTAGTGTGGAAGGGAGAGTGTGTTCATATTTTTAAATTTTTTGTTACAAATTTTGAGGTATAACATGCTTATCTATTGTTAAAATATTTTAAATATATAGTTAACGCCTTATGTGTCAATAAATACTGTGATAATTAGTATAGAGACTTAGGTTCCAAAAATTCTTTTCGTTCCCTCCCCGGAAATAGTAATAGTTTAGTCCACTTAATCCTTTCCCCCATGCATGCTTCTCTTGGCGCACGCGTAGTTTGAGTCGCGTGGTGGTTGCTGCTCCGAGGTAGGTTTGAGTTGGTGTTGGAACGCCGCGGCCGCCAGTCTCGTTAGATAGAACGTGGGCGAGGTACGAAGATGCTGGTCTCCAAGGAGGTTCCCTGGCGGCGCCTTCGGGGCATTTCCTTCGGGATGTACTCGGCCGAGGAGCTCAGGTAAGAGGCTTGGTGGTGGAGACTGCCGGGTCCCCGGCGAAGCGGGTCTGGGGAACTACGACTCCCAGCAGGCGGTGCGCGCCGCGGTGCTCGGGGCAGACGCCGGCTCCGCGCGTGGCTTCCTGGGAGCAGTAGTTCGGCGACCTTGGGGGTGGGGAGGGGTGCGCAGCCGGCGCGGGCCGCTGTAAGTGGCTGGACAGCTCACCCGACATCTTGCAGTGCTGGACCTGCGCTCAGGAAGAGCCGAGTTCAAAGCCGGCCTCAGACCCTGGCTAGCGGTCTGCCCGGGCAAGCCACTTCACCTCCGCCTGCCTCAGTTTCCTCTTCCATAAAGTAGCACCTGCCTCCCAGGGTGGTTGTGAGGATCAGAGATAACTTAGGGAGAGCAAGCACCTCGCAAACCTTAGTGCTTTCTATCAATTTGAAATATTGCTAGTCTAGAGAAATAATAAATCCTGATTACTGGCAGCCAGACAGCGTCAGATGTGGAATTCGAACCCAGGGCTCTCTTTGACTCTCCAGTGTCCTTGACCCCACAATGCCTATGTCATCGATGCTCAATAATCATTGATCGTTGAATGAATGAATGAATTAAAGAGGGAGTGCACCACGAATGAGTGAAAAGTCGTGAGGTTGTCATACTTGGATATGAGGGAAGTAAAATTGTTTTTTTCTCCTGAAAAACAGGACTAGTCAACCAAATTTTCACACTTATTTCCTTGACTATTTCACATGAAGAACCTGTAATTGCATAGAGAGAGGCAATGTGGATTAATGGAAGGAACTCATGGTCAGGAGACGTGGGTTCAGATCCAGACTGTGACCATTCCTGCCTGAGAGGCCACGGACAGGCTGTGACACTGCTCTTAGGCTCAGTTTCCTTATCAGTAAAATGGCCATAATACTAGCAGGGCCAGACTTACAGGGTTGTTCAGAGGTCAGCAGTTTGTCAACCTTAAAGTAGTAGAGAAATGTGAGTTGCTGTCCTATTCATGTGTCCTTTTATCTTGAATGTCAGAGCATTTTGATGATGATTGTGTATCTGCTGGATGAGGGAAAAGGACCCTGAGACGTTCCAAGTCATATCTATGCGATCATAGATCTCTATGGAGCTTTGGATGTCCTCCCAGTGAAATTTACCTAAGATTTTGTAGGTAAATTAGCAGCGCCAGAAGGCTCCGTGACTCTCTTGGGGTCACACAGGTAGTAGGTGGCCAAGTCAGGAGTTGAGGCTTGTCATTTGATTGTGGGACCAGAGTTCTTTCCACAGTGTCATCCCTCGAATGCACACCAAGGAGGAGAAAGCAGCATCCTAGATTCAAATCCAGGTTTTCTTACTAGACAGGTTCCAATGTACATTGGCAGAGGGTTTCAAAAATGAGGACCCGAGAGAAGTATCAGTTTTAGATGATACAGTTTGTGAATTGTCTCTGTTGAAGTGAGGATTGATGGATTGTAGATTGAGAGCTGGATATGAGGGGTCCTTGGCATCGTCTAAGCCACCCCCTTTCATTTCACAGCTGAAGAAATGTGATGCCAAGTGACAGATCAGTCTAAGATCTCACTGGCGCTAAGTGCCAGAGTTGGGATTCAAAGCCCTGGCCTCTCGCTCTGAACTAGGCTGGCACCCTCTGCTTTCCACCCCGCTGCCCCTAACACTCATCTCATCGCTATCTGGTCTGCCTCTACTCTCTCTCCCTCCAGCCTCGAAGGTGGGAGTCAGGGGATCGAGAAAGCGCCCATGGAATGCCAACTGAAGTTCAGTCTCTGCAAATGGGATTTACAAGAAAATGGGAGGGGAGAGATGGAGTTTCATGTGTGTGAAAAATGATTTCAGGTGTCATTTCCTGCACTCAAAAAATTTTCCTTTCAAAACTTTGGCCCATGTTTGAGTGTGTTGAATTGAATGATGCAATTTACAAAGCAAAACCTAAATCACCTACTATCTGTAAAAAACCAACAAAATTCTCAAGGGTCATTGTGAGGGTCAAATGAATAACATGCAAAATCCTTGAAAACCTCATTTCCTTGTTAGCTTTTATTATTGCCATTATACAGAGGGGAGGAAATGCTGCCTGGGAGCCTGCATTCTACATGTGGGCCCATGTCCATAGAGAGAAAGGGGGGGTGAGACAGAGAGGGGAGCCTTGGAAGAGACACCCAAGCTTGGTTGTTGAGGTTGCAGTAATGATGGAGATGGAGGTAGGAATGGGCAGAGCATGGTGGGATAATGGCCAGCAGATGCTCAGTTTGTCTGGAATGTATAAAGGGGAGTGGTGACAGATAAGGCGGGAAGTGTGCAGAGGAGGGCCTTCAGCACCAAGCCCAGGAGGTTTTTATTTAATGGGCAGCAGAGCACCCATGAAAGCTTCTGAGCAGGGGAATGGCCTGGTCAGATGCAGATGATTTTGGTATAGTTTGCTGTGCTTTGGCCTTGCTCTGTTTAAAATAGCCATGTGCTGGAACCTTGGCAAAGCAAAGAATGCTCCCCTAATCTGCTGTAAACTAGGAACATCTTAGCTTTATGGTAGCACTGGAAGAGGCCATTTGGTACTCACTCTACTCTCATTTTGCAGATGAGGAAACTGAGGCCCAGAGATGAGGAAACTGAGGCCAGAAGGCTTGCCCAAAGTTAATAGATAGTCTGGGTAGAATTTGAACTCAGGTCCTCCTAGCTTAATGCTCTTTCCACAATTCTACCCTGCTGAGTTATGTTTTTGGTATCATTTCCAGCAGCTAGTGTGTGGAATGTGGAAGATAAATATTGGTGGAATGAATGATTTTAGCTTATTTTGTAATTTTGTATTACGAGTTTCCTTAAAATGAAGTGTACCTGCCCATGAGGATGCATTTGGGAGGGGGAAGGGGTTAAGAGCAGGCCCTTACAGATGGTCTACTAATTTACGCAATGTGGCAATTAATTAAGTTTATTCTGTATTATAAGTAAGACATAGGACATCCCTCTGACTTGGAAAATGTTGGTTTTTCCTTTCTCTTCAGGAAACTAAGTGTCAAATCCATCACAAACCCTCGATACATGGACAATGTGGGGAACCCCTCAGTGAACGGTCTGTATGATTTATCCCTGGGACCAGCTGACTCCAAAGAAGCGTGTTCTACCTGCGTGCAGGACTTTGGCAACTGCCCCGGGCACCTGGGCCACATCGAGCTCCCCCTGATGGTCTACAATCCTCTGCTCTTTGATGTACGTATGACCGCTTCTGCTCTCAGGATGGGTGTCAGGCCATCGATGGAGCACCGGGTTTGACTGAGCCTAAAGCCCTTTGGGTTCTTGGGATGGGCCAGATCCTCAGTGGAGTCAAGTTCCCCGTGGTCTTTGTCTATAAACTAACCAATTCTCATCCATTTCCCACTCCTGGTCAGTTTGTTTAAATCCATTCACTTGGGAAAAACAGCCTTGAAGATGGCTTCAGCTAATCTGGAGCCTGGTCTTTGTTCAGAGGATTCATCCAGACATGGCTTGTGGGATGAGCAGAATGTGTAGACAGGAAGGAAGGAGACCCATTTCTGATCACCGTTCTCTCCATTTTCCCCCAGTAGAATGTAGGGTCCATGGGTAGGGACCGTTCCTATTTTGTCTTTGTGTATACACTGCCTGGCACATAGTAGGCCCTAGGCAAATGCTTGTTGACTGGTTCCATCTTAAAATTCCAATACCCTCTAAAGTGTGTTTCATCCTTGGTAACTTCCATGATTTTATTCAGCTGCCAAACGGGTGGCAAGAACTCTGGTTGGAGAAGCGGGTGGTATTCTCTATTTGCTGGCTTTCCCTTTTTCTGTGACACTTTTTCCCCTTCTCTGCTTGAAGTCATTAGCATGTGGAGGGAAGGGTTGTGTTTTGTTCTGGCACAAATGACACTGGGAACACCCTGATTAGATCCACGTGTTCCTTTTTTTTGAAGTTTGCTGATCATGGGGAGGTTGCCTCATGGAGGAGGTGATTGAGGGCAGGCCTTGAAGCCAGCAGGCCCTGATTTCAAGTTGACTCTGAGCCAGTCACTTAGTCTTTTAGTGTTCTAGGCCACTCTTGAAGACTGAGTTGTAGAAAAAGTGCTGTCCTGCATTGGTAGAGAGAGTCTCCTCTCGGGGAGTTCCCCACATGCCAGTGAAATCACAGCCCAGTCACCTCCTGGCCAGGTCAATGTTTAAGGTTTTCCAAGAGCTAGATGTACATTATCTCATCTGATCTTCAGTTACCCTGGGAGGTAATTAGGTAGGTGCCATTATTATCCCCATATTACAGATGAGGAAACTGAGGCAAACAGGTTAAATGACTGACCTAGGGTCACCCGGCAAGTAAGGGTCTGAATGAAGAATCAGAGTCAGGTCTCCCTTTGCAGCCAAACCTTGGTTGTCATCGTTGGGTATAATATAGTTGTGGCTCCTTGGTTTTCACTCTCATGCCATTAGGAGGCATCTGGATGTGATGAAAGCCATGCTAGATTTAAAGTAAGAGGAGGGTGGTCAGAACCCTCTTTCTGGCCCTTGTGTGACCTCATCTGTAAGATAGGAATATGGGACTCAAGGAAGTACTTGGAATGTACCTTCTGGCTCTAAATAAGTGATCCATTCTTTGCTTTAAAAAATTCGTCTCTCTTTTGTTTTTATGTCCCCGTGGATCCCACCCGCCCATCCCATCCCCTACCTTACTTCGTAAAAGACAAAATCAAAGAAGGCAGTTCAGCAAAACAAACAACCCATCCACGAGTCTGACAGCATAGGCCACACTCCGAACCCAAAGTCCCCTACCTCCCTCCTGGGGGAAGGGACCTGTCTCCTCTTCTCTTTGGAGACAAGCTTGGTCCTGGTAATTATTCAGTATTAAGTCTGGGTGTGTACCTCTAAGTCTTCAGTACTCCTCTTTTCTCACAGCTCTGTGATATCTCTTAGCTTTGAAGTGAGCTGTTCTCCCAGTGGATCAGAGGAAAGAGGAGCATCGTATGTCTCCTTAGTGTTTGCTAACCCTTCAGTGCTTCTTTGGACCCTTGGCCTTGCCCATTAACAGCATTCTTCTCCTGTCTTCTCTTCAGAAACTCTACCTGCTAATCCGGGGCTCTTGTCTCAACTGCCACCTGCTGACTTGTCCCCGGCCTGTGGTTCACCTCCTCTACTGCCAGCTGCGGGTCCTCGAGGTTGGGGCACTTCAGGGCGTCTATGAACTTGAGAGTACCTTGAACAGGGTAGGTGATGTGTGGCAGTCCTGGAAGTCAGAGGAAAACCCGGGCTAGAGAAGGAGCAGGGGCCGTGGGGATACCGTTTGGGGAAAGGGAAGGGGGTCGGGTCTGGAGGAAAATGGGACCATATGTTGTCTCCCACCCTTGGGTTTGCCAATGTATCAATAAAGGATGGTTCAGCTTTCAATGGGAAGTGGCTCATGGGTGTGTGAACACCAGACTGCCAAAGTGGAACAGAGACCCTTCCTGCTTTCATTTTGTTTTCTGTCGAGACTTTTGAAATATTGCCTGTTCATGTCCCAGCTGATGCTTCAAAGAAGGTTGAGGTTTGTGGCCCCTCCCTAGACCAAGGGAGGCCTGTGGGGCTTCTCACTTTTGTGGTTGGACCCTTGGGTTCTTAGAATAAGCCTGTGAGGCTTTTACTTCATCCCTTCTTCAGACACTAGAGACAAGGCCAGACCAGAGCCCGTGACATTCTTCTATACTTCTCAAATTTGCCTTAATCTGGGACTTGTGAGTTTGGCTCATCTGTGCTCACACATGGTATTAAAGGTCATTCTTGTGAGCAGTTGTGCTGCCCTGGTCTGGAGGGGCCAAGGAAAAAGATGGCAAGCAATTGTTCTAGAAGGCTTGTGAATATTGCCATGTAGTAGAATGTAGAAGTAGAAAGGGCCCTGTCACAGGGGCCAAGGGTCACTAATTTTCCTTTTATTTTTCAGTTTCTAGAAGAAAATCCTAATGCTTCTATCCATGAGATTCAGGAAGAATTAGAGCAGCACACTCGGGCAGTCCTGGAAAACAACCTGCTGGGAGCCCAGGGCTCACAGGTGAGGCAGTGCAGCTCCCCGGGGCTTGGCCCTATGCCTGGGGGCCTGACACTCTAGATCCGAGTAGGCCGGAGGTATTCAGAAAGGGCTCTTTTCAAAGTCCTTTGTTCATGTGTTTCAGGTGAAGAATGTTTGTGAGAGTAAGAGCAAGCTGATTGCCCACTTTTGGAAGGCACACATGGCTTCTAAGAGATGCCCCCACTGCAAGTAAGTGGCCCAGCCGGGTTGTCTGCACAGTTGTAAACCTCTTCATGGCCCAGCATTGAAGGTGTTCTCCTTTTTTCTCTCCAGAACTGGGAAGTCAGTGGTTCGCAAGGAGCACAATAGCAAACTGACCGTCACCTACCCTGCTGTGGTTCACAAAAAGGCCGGCGGGGAAGAGGACAAGGCCAAGAAGACAGCAGGTGAGGCGTCTGGCTGCTCTGGGGGAGGGGGTTCATCTTCTCTTGTTTGGACAGTTTTACAGTTGCAGACTTTTAAGATGGACCCCGGATATCCCTGAGCTGGTGGGAACCTCGGAATCAGTTATGTCCCACTGTAACAGAAAGCATGGTCTTGTCTGGTGTGTGCCCAACTGCGGTGGCATCCAGCTTCCTCGTGATGCTCCCCAGTGACGGAAAATTCTGTTTAATCTCTTTTATTTTTGGACAACTCCAAGCATTAGCAGAATTGTCCTTACCCTTGAAGTGAAACCTGCCTTCTGTAGCTCTGGGTTGTGTGGGCTCAAAGAGTTCAGTCAGATCTTGCAGCTTTTTTGGGCCTTGTATGAGGAGCCGAACGGCAGCGGCTACTGAGGAGGATGAGGAGGAGGAGGAGGATAGCCCATTTAAGCAGCACTCTCACAGCCCTAGAAAGTAAAGAGGGCAGGTACCCTCCCCCTTTTACAGGGGAGAGCACTGAGGCCCAGACAGGTTATCGAAGTTGGTCGTGGTACCCAGCTAGGAAGTGGTGGAGGGAGCATTCAGATTCAGGTTTCCTTTCTCCCAAGATAGGAGCTCCTTTCAGGGGGCACTTGAGTGTGTCTGTTGATTGAGGTCCCGGTTATTTCCTCAGTCTCCTCTTCACTGCCAGACAGAACCATCCCTCTCACCAAGTCCATGCCTGTCATCTGTGTCCTGTGCTTACTGTCCATTTGCTTTCCCCCGTAGATGGATGAGTGAGTGCTGTCTTCCCAAAAGTGTGGCAAAGAATGTACAGTTCTGTGAACCTGATAATCAGGGTACTGTTGGGCCTTTACCAAGTACCATCTGATGATAATGGGGAGGCAGTATACTCTAGGGCAGAGGGGCCTGGCTGTGGGTTAGAGGACCTGGGTTCAGATCCTGCCTCTGCTGCTTGTTGAGGTTACCTCACTGCCTTCATCTGTAAAATGAAGGGATGGGCCTGAAGACCATGGGGAGGTCTGGGCCAGCTCTGGATCTAGGATCAGAAGAGATCAATGTCAGAGAACTTTGTCGACCTTAAATCTCTCTCTAAATACTTGCTCTTAGCTTGTGCGTTGTCTGCCCTTCTCACTGGCTTCTTAGTAGTGTTCAGAGTCCTATGTCACAGATGTCTTTCCTTACACATATTTCTGCCCATTCTCCTTCCTCCTTTGCACTATGTTTCTGGCTGGAGTGTGAAGGAATATCCATCACAGTTTTCAGAATCTCTTGGGTTTGTTGTTTTTTTTTTTTTTTTTGGTGTGGTTTGTTTATTTTATTTGTTTGGGTTTTTTTGTGTTTTTTTGGTGTGTGGTTTTTTTTGTGTTTTGGGGGGTTTTTTTGTGAGGAAGTGGTGGGGTGGACAGAGAATGTGGACCTCTGGGGTCAGATCCCAGCTCAGACACATCCTGGGTCAGTGACCCCAGCCAAATTGCCTCTCAGGGCCCTGAGCAACAAGGCAGTAGCTTGTCCCTGGGCCCAGGAGAAGATTTCACGGTAGCGAGGTAGGAGAATGATCATGAGGTGGGAATGATTGGCCTGTTAAATCACGGGGCAGTGTTACCTGCATGGGGGGCAAGCAGCACCAAAATCAGTGCGATCATGGTCTGCGCCCCCTACTCTACCTCCCTCCCCCCCAAGTGTGCACCAGCACGAGTGTGTGCATGTGTAAGGTCTAACACCAACACCGAAGCTTTTGGACTCTGTCGTCCCCATCAAGACACCCCCAGCACAGTCCTAGGCCATGGGATGGATTTCACAGGTCTCTGGAGGTGGGAAGCTTTAACTGTACCTTTTAACAGTTCCTGATGCTCCTCATCTGGTCTTCCCTGGTCTGAGGTGTGTTAGCTGACCTCGCTTCCCAGTGACCCCGCTCGCCCTTGCAGAGCCCTCCCTGTCCTGAAAAAGGATGGTTAAGCAGAATAAAGACCCACGGGCCGATGTCTGACCACTAAGTCACCTTTATCTGCGTAGGCTGTGCAGAGTCTATGTCTGTGGAGAAGAATGAGGGGAGAAAGCTTTTACTGAGCACTTAAGATGTGCCAAAGCACCATAGTAAGCATGAGGGATACAGATGGCAAAGTTGGACCATCACTGCTCTCAGGGCCCTCACATTCTATTGGGGTGATGACACACGGAAGGTTTCAGCTACTAGTCAGATGGAAAACTCCCATGGTTGTTAGGGTTCAGCAGCCAAGATGGTGATGTCTCTTCACTGATAAACTGCTATCAATTTCTGATGTTGAACCATTTGACAGTGCCGAGGACTTTGGTGACAAGAGGAGGGAAGCATGCCTTACTGGCAGGAGGGTGGGTGGGCATTTCTCTGGAAGCCACATCCTGGCACGTCCATCTGAAACTGGGAAGTCATTAATGTGGATGAATAAGGGGCAGCAGAGAGTACTTGTTTCCTCAATAAAGAAAACAATGGGAAATGAGAAGGTTTAAGTCAGATGTTTAGTGAAGACTTATTTGCAGTATATGTGTATCATGGACAAAGAACTGTAAGTGCCATCCTTTTTGTTACAGTTTTTCTGTTAGTATCTCCTGGTTGCAATGATGTGACGGTAGGCGTGTTAATTCAGTAGTGCGTGTTAGGCTGTGATCTCTGCATGGGTGAAGGCAGTTCCCACACTGAAGAAATCACAGATCCTTTGCCATGTACCTTTGCATATTTGTGTGATAAGTATGAAATGAGATCTGTTCAGTCTACAGAAGATATGTTTGCCTTGTATTGTCTTGAGTCATTTAAAGAGATGGACCCCTTGGGAATCGCCCAGTGGCCCTCAGCTGGGGAGCCACTGGTAGAGTGTGTTTGAAGGATTGAGCCTGTGAACAGTCCAACAGCAAAGGTGTGCTTCAGATGAGGAGGGAGGTGCTGCACACAAAGAGAAAGGTAAGGGCTCGTCATCCCTACACTTCCTTGCACTGATTTTATCGTTTGTTTTTGGTTTTCTCTTCCCAGCCCCAGAAATCGATGAAGCCCATTTGGGGAAAAGGGGCTACTTGACCCCCAGCACTGCCCGAGAACATGTCTTGGCCCTTTGGGAGAATGAAGGTAACGTACTCTACCTGAGGAGTCTTAAGTTCTGTGCACTCTCTTGCTCATTTGTTTTCCCAGGACTGTTGCCATCCTCCACTGAGGTCTGTCCCTCATGTCAGGTCACCTCGAGCTGAACATTTACACAATCATTATGTTCCTGAAAAGTTGAATGCCGTGCCCTCGAGGAACACGCTGTTTAGAACAGTTTTGTGCTGAATGATTTTCTGTAGCTGCCTAAGAGATTCCTGTACAAGTTGGGATTTTTATACTTTGGGTAGATAGCATCTGTGGTCATCTTGGTGCTCTGCCTGTGGTCTGGTCAGAGCAGGCCAAACTGGCTGGCTCACTGTGTTCTAGCACCTCAGATTTCTCTAGCTCCCTGAGAAGTCCTTTCCTCGTGACATCATCTGAGGTAGTTTGTGCAAGTATTATTATTTCCATTTCATTGATGGGAAAACCCAGGCCTGCAGAAGTTAAATGATTTGTCTATGAACTAGCCAGTGAGAGTCAGAGCTGGGATTGGAACTCAGGTCTTCTGACTCCTAGTATGCCGCTCTTCCCACTTCTCTGGGAAAAGTGCTTATAGATGAGTCATTGGTGGTTGGCTATTAAAAATGTAGAAATACAAAATATTTAGAGATGAATGTGTACCTTGCATGACGTAACATTGCCCTTACCAAATCATTTGTCAATTCTGCAGCAGTTCATGCCTGTGGACCAAACTTCTTTGAAACTGTAAAACCCTGCTATGGTGTTACTTGGCTTATCGTCTATTCTCCCTGTGCCTCCTTAACAGAATTTCACTTGATAGGTTTTTGTAGAACCCCTTAATGAATGGTGCCAGTATGAAAGCAAAGGGAAAATAAACAAGCAGAAGAGATAAAAGCCTTTTAATTGGCAGGTCAGGGTGAGAGCATTGGATTTAGACTGAGAGAATTCCTGAGTTCAAATCCTAGCTGTCACTATGTGACCTTGAGCAAGTCACTTCTGATCTCCGGGCCTCAGTTTCCTCATTTTAAATTGAGAATTGGACTAGGTGATATATAAGGTCGTGTCTCACTCTCAGAAATATCACTGAAGGTAGACAAAAGTAGTGCACGAAAGGTCCCTTAATTGAATAGAATGTTTCCAGTTTTAAACAACCCTCCAGTCTTTTGCTCTCTGATCATTAGACTTCCAGTTCAAAGCTCTTGTACACATTAGATTAGATAGACATTTTTAGGATTCAAAAATATAAATGGGTTTTGGGTAATGTCAAAGAATTTTCTGCATTTGTTGAAATAGTTTTGTGGTTTTGATATCTTGTTTATGTTGCTTATGCTAATCCTGCTGTTGAACTATTCTTAGATTCCTCATGTGAATCCAACTTGATTCCAGTGAATTATTTTCTGACTGTAGTCTCCTTGTGATGATTTTACTTAAAATTTTCATATCAATATTAATTAGTATGCTTGGAGTATCATTTTCTTTTTTTTGTCTCTCCCTTGTTTGGTTAGCAGAACCCAAAAAAGAAGTTTTGGTAAATGCTTTCAGTCTCTCTTTTGGAGAATAATTTTTGTGGCATAGGCATTCATTGCTCTTTAACTGTCTAATAGAATTCACTTATAAATCTGTCTGATCTGGGTTTTTTTTTTAAATTTGGCACTTTATGGTTTATTTGTTTTTTTTTTTCTGAAGTTGATTTAAAGTCTTGTTTTTTTTAGTTGTATTTTGCATTTTTGTGGACTACTTATCGACTTCCTTTGAATTCTTAGTTTTTGTTGCTATGTAAATTTGTACAGTAGTTTCTGATGGTTCTTTTTATTTCCTCTTTGCTTGTTGTGAGTTCACATTGAATCATTTGATTTAGATAGCTTTCCTTATGTTACAACAGGGAGATTAACTATGTGGCCATTAAGCTCATTAACCACCATTAATGAGTCTCCTTTCTCATTTGGCTCCTATGTAGAAATTATTGAGTGGTTCTTTTCATTTTGGTGTTCTTCTATTTGATTTACTAAGTTTACTTGCTTTCAATCCCAGGTTTCTTTCTGAACTGCCTTTTCTCTGGAGTAGAGGATGGCACAGAGTCCAAATTCAATCCCAATATCTTCTTTTTGGATCTTGTGGTGGTGCCGCCTTCCAGGTAACACCTAATTCCATGATGGCGTGGAAGAAGAATCGGGTGACACCGTATCACTTGAGGGGAGGGATGTATGACTCAGGTGTGGGGAAGGCTGGCAGCAGGCCCTGCTCCACCAAGTCAGTAGGGAATTCGAGTAAAGGATTCTTCCATTCTTTACTGTTACTCCTTCTTGGTCATTTGGAGACGTGGGTGTGGGTGTGGGAGGCAGCAGTGTAAGTTAGTTGCTTTTTCAGTAACAAAGGTGAGAGGGAAGTTTCTGCTTTTCTTCCTTGGTGCGTTAACCCTTGTGTTGCATTGTAGGTATCGCCCAGTGAACCGCCTGGGGGACCAGATGTATACCAACGGCCAGACAGTGAACTTGCAGGCTGTTTTGAAGGACGTGGTCCTGATCCGAAAGCTTCTGGCTCTGATGGCCCAAGAGCAGGCCCTGCCGAGTGAGGGGATGGGAGTGACAGGGAAGGAGATCCAGAACGGCTCCCCAGAGGTACCGTGACAGTGCCTACGTTCACTACTAACCCGGGGCTGGTCTGGTGAACTGTTCAGACAAAAAAGCTGATTGTTCAGTGATAAAGGTGTGGGGGCATTCTCTGGAACTGACCTGAATTTTGCTTGTTAAGCTCTTTGGAGACCTTGCACCTGAGAGCTGAGCCTTGAGTTAAACATGGTGGCATAGTGGAAAGACTCTTGCTCTGAGCTGGGGTTCTAGCTCTGCTCAGCTCATTTGGACTGACGTTCATTGAGCATCTACCCAGGGAGAGGGGCTGGCTATGTCATCTTGGTCAAGGCAAGCCGTGTTCTGCTCAACCTATAGAATCAGGGTTTAGTCTAGATTTTCTGGAAGATTTTTTCTGGCTCTGCCATAATGACCTGGTGTGTGGATTATTGGGCGCATTTTAAATCCCATGTTGTCCCCGACCCTAGGGCTGGGCCACCTCTTTGCCCTGCATGAGCTCAGGGGGAATACCAACCGACTTTTCCTTTGGAAAAAAACAAAAACACTTACTGGTATCTTTTGTTTTTATATCACCTTCATTCCCAGAAAGTCATCTCTTGTAGCAAAGAATGAAAAAGAAAGACACAACAAAAGCAGCCTTTGCACCATGTCTGCCGGTGTAGACAGCGTAGACCGCAGGCCTGGGCAGGAGGGAGGGAGGCTCCCTGGGACCTGCCTCCATGTTCCTGGCATTCACTTTACTTTGTGGTTCTCTCCATTCCCATCGTGGCCATTGTTTTCCTGGACCTGCTTCTTTCTGAGCTAGTCCATGTTAGTCTTTCCATGTTTCGTGAACGTTTTTCTTAGTATGCAGTAATGTTACATGGCGTTCACATGCCAGTTTGTTTAGCTTCTCACTTGATGTCATCCGCTTTATTTCTAGTTCAAAAAGCACTTGCTGTGAAGTGTATTTCCAGGTACGTGGGACCTTCTGTCTTTGGCCTCTGAGGAGGTACGTGCTTAGCAATGGGATCTTGGGGTCCGAGGACATAGAATTTTCCTTCCACGGTAATCATATGAAAAGATGAGTTCATTTAGGCCATTTCAGTCATTTTAGTAATTAGGAATTTCTTTTTTTCCCCTTATTTTTAGTTTTCAGCAATCACTTCTATAAGCTTTTGAGTTTTAAATTTTCTCCCTCTCCTTTCCCACTTCCCTCCCCAAAATGGCACGCAATCTGATGTGGACTCTACATATACATGCCTGTTAGACGTATTTTCACATGAGTCATGTTGTAAGGAAGAATTAGAACCAATCGGAGGAGCTACCAGAAAGGAAAACAAAGCAAAACAGAACTGAAAAAAAGAGCAAATAGTATGCTTCGATCTGCATTCAAACTCCAAAGTTCTTTCTCTGGATGTGGATAGCATTTTCCATCATGAAACTATTGGAATTGTCTTAGATCCTTGCATTGCTGAGAAAAGCTAAGTCTATCAAAGTTAGTCATTGCACAACATGGCTGTTACTGTGTACAACCTTCTCCTGGTTCTGCTCATTTCACTCAGCATCAGGCCATACAAGTCTTTCCAGGTTTTTCTGAAGTCTGCCTGCTCATCATTTCTTATAGCACAATAGTGTTCCATTACATTCATATACCACAACTTGTTCAGCCATTCCCCAATGGATGGGCATCCCCTCAATTTCCAATTCTTTGCCCCCACAAAAAGAGCTGCTATAAATATTTTTGTACACGTGGGTTCTTTTCCCATTTTTATGATCTTTGGGTTACAGCCCTAGAAGTTCTATTTGCTGGGTCAAAGGGTATGCAAATTTTTATAGCCCTTTGGGCACAGTTCCAAATTGCTCTCCAGAATGGTTGGATCAGTTCACAACTCCACCAATAATGCATTAGTATTCCAATTTTCCCACATCTTCAGCATTTATCATTTTCCTGTTTTGTCATGTTGGCCAATCTGATAGGTGTGATGTGGTCACCTCAGAGTTTTTTGATTTGCATTTCTCTAATCAGTAGTGAGTAATTAGCAATTTCTTTTCTGAATTCAGTGAGAGTTAGCTATTAAGGATTTTGCATTGCATGAGAATATAATAATACTAAATAATACTAAAAGCAGCTAACATTTATATCACAGGTGAAAGTCTGAAACTTGTTTACATTCACTATCATTTGATCTGTTGGGATCATCTTGTCTAACCCTTCATTTTACAAATGAAATGACAATCCTCCGATTTTTTTTTTAAATTTCAGCAGCTTTCTAACATTTTCTTATAATGTAAATCAACATGGTATGGTGAAAACCCATCTCTCCACTGGACATCTGGTTACCTGTGTTTGAATCCTGACCTCCCTCCCTCTCTCCTTCCTTTCTCCCTCCCTTCCCTCCTTCCCGTTTCCTTCACAGAACACTGGACTCCGCCCTAGGGAGGTACCAGGTTCGACTAAAACACTGTCCTTGCCTTGGCTTCGTTACTTTCTGTAGCCAAAAATCTGATCCTCTTCTGGAGGCTAAGGGTCTGTCATCAGGATCAAATGATATCAGTTTATTTTTTTCCTTAAAAAATTAGGCTCAACATCTCTTAGCAAACACAAATATTCACGTTAACATGAGAAAGATTGTGAGTGTACATAAAACCAAACTTGGGTTTTTCATAGACTTTTTTAAAATTTTAATTTAATATTTTCTCTTACCAAGGTAGTCTTAGTGAGGGCCTCCTGTTTAGGTGGGTCCCCTTGGAGTATATTTTCTGTTTGTCATTGTGTCCATTTATGCTGCCCTAGCAACCAGAATTTGGAGCTGGAAGGAACCTTAGAAGCCATCTAGTTCAAACTTCTAATTTTGCAAATGAGGAAACTGAGGCCAAGGGTGGGGTGGATTACTTGCCCAAGGTCACACACAATTAGTAAACATCAGGGTTGGGATCTGAACCAAGGCCCCTCAACCTGGAGTCAGTGGTTTTTTCCTACTGTTCTGCATCATTTCATACAAGTTTTCCCATGTTTCTGGGTATTCTTCATGTTTATCATTTCTTATGCTATAATCCTATTCCATTTCATTCAGCACCTGTTCCCCAAATATTACATGTCCGTGTTATTTCAACTGTTTGGCTATGATGAATAGCACTGCTAGGGACTTTTTTGTCCGTGATCTTTTTCCCTCTCCAGTAGCATTGTTAGGAGTGTGGTCATGGTGGTAACTGTCCTCATCTAGACAATTAGGGGCCGGATTAGACTGGGACTTGGATTAGCCTGGGTCCCTTTGGCAGTCTGGAGAAGCCTACAGACCCCTTTTCAGAATAAAAAAAAAATTTTAGTTGAAGGAAATGCTGAATTTTAGTTAGAAGTTAGTGAAAATAAAGATGCAATTCTTGATGTTTAAAATTTCATTTTTTTTCATCCAGGTTCGCAGGCCCCCTCAAATGTATCCGTGGACCCTTAAGGGAGGGAAGGTGTGTGGATCCCAGGCTAAGAACTCCTGGATTAGGTGATCCTTGAGACCTTTCAGTAGTGATATAAGCAGTAGCCAAATCCGTACCATATTTCTGTGAAGCTTGTGTTCTTGAAGGATTTTAGTTGTTATCACCCCAGCTCACCACTAGGTGGAACCCATCGCCTTGGTGCCTTAGGGAAGGTCAGGTCCATTTGGTGCCTCTGTTGCCTTGCCCCAGAGGGATGCATCGGCCCATCAGCCAGACCTAGGTTACCGGCCTCAGCTTGGCTGCAGCTGGCAGGGCACGCCCGACACGTTCTGCTTTTGGCAGTTTTTCTTCTTTTGAGATGATGGTGGTTTTTTGTAACAGAGCCACTGCGCCCAGGTTCTGTGCTTTGGGCCAAGCAGAACAAGCCTGTTCTAGTTCCTCAAGGGCAGCCTCTGTAATTCTGGAAGCTGAGCCTCACTCTCCTTTTCCATTGCTCAGGCCGCTCCTGGTGCCGGCCACCCTGCTTTGGACAGGCCACTGTCCTTCCCGGAATGTGACTCCCACGATGGAGCACAGTTCTCTAGACGTGGTTTCCCAGCACAGACAGCAGCCAGATGGTCCCCTCCCTGGTTCCGACCCTGAGCTTCTCTTAGTGTGGCCTTGGGAAAGAGGGCTGAATGCGGAATGACGAGGCCCTGACATTAGCTGCCTGAGAGGGCCCCATCAGAGAGGGGCTGCGATCTGCCCTGGTCCTTGACCTAGTGATGTGAAGATCACACGAGGTTTTGGGGGTTGGTTGTGGCCACACGCTTTCAGCTTGTTGAGTTTGTAGTTTCATCAGCCTGTTAAGTACCAGCTGTTGTCGAGCAGCGTCTCCTTCATTCTGACTTTTGTGAATGTGGGACTTTTACGTCTACTATTTAATTTCATCTTAGAGTCTGCCCGTTGTTCTGGTCTCTGTCCCTGATTCCATCAGCGGATGAGTTTGCTATCCCCCTCAGTATGCGTAGGTTTGAAAAACCTGACGAGCTTTCCATGTGTGCCTTTTTCTTGGTCACTGGTTAAAATGCACAGTGACCGACAGCTCTGGGCTCCTTTGACAGAGGTGGACGTCCACCTGTTAATCTTGACTTGTTGAATCTGGTCATTTGACCAGTTCTGAAGACATCTGCCTTAGCCTGTGTCTCTCCATCTTACCCAGAATGATATGATGAGAGACTTTGTCCAGAGCCTTATTGATAAACATATTCTGGTGCTTTCTCTTGGTGTACCTACGACCCCGCCTTGTCATCATTGTTTCTTTTTCTAAATGCTCATAAATCAGTACTTTAATGTTTATGTTCTAGAATTTTGCTTTGAAGTGAAATCAAGTTCATTGGCTCACAGTGAGTAATTCTCTTCATTCCCTTTTTGAAGATTTTATATTTGTCCATCTCTAGTCTGTTAGCATTTCTCTTTTTTTTTTTTAAAAAAAAAAAGAGGTCATACAATGTTTCAGCAAATCATTTATTTCTAATTTTTTCAGGCTGGTGACTCAAAATCATTGAGGATGGCCACTACGGTGCGTTCTCAGCGTCTCCCCACTTATGACAGGTTTTAGTTCCCTGTTAATCCAT